ACGTAGTTAGTAGTAGTACGTAGTACGTACGTACGTTACGTACGTACGTTACGTACGTACGTACGTACGTACGTACTTACGTACTACTACTACTCTACTCTCTCTCTCTCTCTCTCTCTCTCTCTCTCTCTCTCTCTCTCTCTCTCTCTCTCTCTCTCTCTCTCTCTCTCTCTCTCTCTCTCTCTCTCGTGGGACAGGGTTTGTAAGTTAAAAAAATACGGAGGTTGCATTGGCAAACTTAGGGATTGTAATCTACTGTAGTGGCACTTGGCAATTGGCGGGGGCACATTGTTACCCAAAATGGCCATTTGTGGCAGCAAGTCATCCAACAAAGTATGGCCTTGATGAGTCGGAATGGTATCCTTGGGCCTTCGGAGCATGTAAAAATTTGGTCTGGAGCTACCGATCTTTTACGAATAACATTCCTTTAAGGGTGAGAAGGGGGGATAGAATAGGGTTTGGGAGGGTTCTTTGGGGTTGGAGAAAGCATGTTATGACAGTGTTCCCTGGCCTATTTTGTTAATGAAGGAATCAAATTGCAGTGGCACAATCCCACAAAGTTTTTGGGTGGAAAGTGTTTTCTTGATACCGAGTTCCTGATCGTACTGATTTCTTAGGGCTTCTATTGTCTGTATGTTTACCTTGTTTTAGCAGTCATAAATTGGTTGGAGAACTGCAAACTCCGGTTGATTCTTGCTGTCTTCTTTTATTACGCTCTGAACCCTAGCCCCACCAACACCCCCATTGCCAACAGACCCTGGTTCTCAGGTGACCCGCGATAATCCAGGCATTCAACTGGCTCACACTAGCAAATAAACCACTCACAGTAGACCAGTTACAAAGACGAGGTTATTCTGCTTACAAGCTGATATGTCATGTGTAAAGAAGAGCAAAATATCAATCACCAATTCATCCATTGACAGGGGACTAAAGATGATTGGTCAGCACTACTGCAAACTTTTGATTGTGTGTGGATGATATCACAGTTGGTACAACAACTATCCACAGCCTATTTGACCTCAATATCCCTCTTTAGGTTTCTGTCCTTGGTGTGCTTCTACTCTGAGCACAACATGGGTCATTTGGTTGGAGAGAAACTAGTGTTTTCTTGAGGGATGAGAAGCTAGCACAAATTCTGTCGAGGACCAAATTGTAACTCTGGTTGTAGTTTGGGTAAGGGACTGCAAAGGGTTTCGAGCTTACCTGTCGGCAGAGTTTGCAAGTAATTGGGAGGCCATCTTAAGCTCTAAGCCAGTTCCATCTCTATCACACCATTGGATGCCACCAGGCGAAGGGGGTCATTGGACTTAATATTGATGGATATTCACTTGGAAACCCCGTCCAGCAGGGTTCGGTGGTATTTTTAGAATTAAACTGGGATTGATCACTATTATCTTTGTCTGGTCTCATCGGCATTGTCCACTCTACAATGGTGGAGTCAATTGCTCTCCTTGAAGGCCTAAAGTGGTTCAACCCTACTTGGGGGAACACACTTCTAATCAAAGGAGACCCTAAAAACGAAATTATGTGGGCTTCAAAGTTGGTTTTGTGTCCTCGGAGAGTCAAGCCTGTTTTTGGCAATAGTATGACCTTTGTAGGGCCTGCAAGTTTCTTTCAAGTCTCAAAGGCATTTGACAAGAGGCTGACGCGATTAATGATGCTTGAACCTATTAGCCAAGGAGGGCTTTGGAAGCTAGAATTTTGTAATTCGTCATCGAACTTTTTGAGCTTTATTCACTCACAATTCTTCCTTTTTACAATGCTCTCCCGAAATTTGGGCTGCGAGTTTTTGAAGCCATGTATATTGATTTACCGTACTTAGTACTAGGGTAAAAAATCGCCAATCGAGTTCAAAATTGGTCATGGGCCATCCAATTCCATAAAGGAGCCGGGAATCAATCATTATCATTGTCAAAGCCTTTTTTCAACTAATTGGGATCGGCTACACGAGTCCTAATCCGCCATTTGTCTCTATTAAGGGCCATACCTTCCATGAGGCCATAAGTCCCCATATTTTTTCTCACTACTTCCAACAATGTCCTTTTGGGCCTACCCCTCGTCCTTTTTGAGCCTTCCACTTGAACTTATGCGCACCTCCTAACAAGTGTTGTTCTGGGTTTACGCCACGCATGGCCAGCCCACCTAATTTTACTCTTCCTCATCTTATCGCCTATTGGTGCTCTCAAATGTATTCATTTCGAATTCTATCCCTTATTGTCTTGCCACTCATTGATCTCAACATCCTCATCTCAACTACATTCATTCTATGGGTATATTGTTTTTTGACTGCCCAACATTATGTCCCATAGTGCAAAGCTAGTCTCACAGCTGTCCTATATAATTTTCCCTTCAGCTTCATTAGTATGTGGCGATCACAAATTCCAGTTGCATATCCTCAGTTCAACCATCCATTTCTAATTCTATGTGCGACATTTTTCTCAATCTCTCCATTTTATTAGATTATTGACCCAAGATTTCGAAAGTGCGCTTCTTTTGGTATTTCTTGGCCGTCAATTTATCTACTTCCTCATATTTTCTCCTATTATTACTAAAATTGCATTTCATATACTCTGTCTTAGTCCGATTAATTTTAAAACCTGTATATACTAGAGTATCCCTCTAAAGTTCTTTGTGTGAGCTAGGAATCAATCTAAGTTTTATAAAATTTCTAGTTATGTCAGAACTGTGAAATCAAGTGATTCTATGGAGTATCATTGTAGATACTTTTTTGGGATTTTTTTTGGCCTGGTTAGCTTGTTATCTATTTTCTCCTTTTTTTCAATTTTCTTACTCGTTTCACATCTGTTTCAACAAAATCTATCTCAAGTTCGTTTTTTTTTTTCAGCCATCTATTTGATCTACCACATCTTTTTACATAATTTTTGTGTTAGCTTTGGGATTTTTTTTGCAATTTTTTTATTTTTCATTAAAAGACTCAAAGTTTTGGAATAATAGTAATAATTGTTGTTCATGATTTGTTAGGCTTTTTAGCCTAGAGAATAACAACAATTATTTGATCATTTCTCTTCCAATTTTTATAAGTTTTGGTTGCTTTATGCTCATGTTTTAGTGACATTATTATTTCTCGGGTTTTAAATGGGCCTGATTTGGATGTATTTAGAGCATTTTAAAGATAGATCTAGCTGTTATCTAATGATCAGCTTCTGGATCCTGTATCTTTTCATGAACTTACGATTTATTTTTGACAAATATGTATTTTTACTTTGAGATGTTTACGAACATTTTATTTTTATTTTATTTTTTAGCATGGAATTTTTTCAATTTCTATTTTCTGTAATTGTTAATAGTGTTTTCATGCTTTTCCTTGTGATTTATCAGCAATTGTTTGAATTATATGTTTATTTAGTGTAGAGGTAATATTTTGGTCTAGGAACCAAGAATAATGCAGAGGTTTGTCATGGAGGGATTTCTGAAAATATGGAAGAAAATCCTATATCTCGGGACCAAAAACAAAAGTCAGGCAGGCCACTGGTTACCTCTGGAACAAGGAGTCATCAAGCTAACTCTTGATGGATGCTCCCTTGGCAACATTGAGCAAGCGGGTTTTGGGGCTATTTTCCCAAATAGTCAAGCCAGGGTTTTACTTTCTTATTTGGGTGCTATTTGGAGTGGTCGACTCTTCCACTGCTGGAGGGCCTGAGACAGTGTATGACAACAGATGGGATTCCACCGTTGTAGTGTAAGGGGATTGCTAAAACGTTGTTACAGGGGCATCCCATCTGGATCAGATACCATGGTAACTGATTCTATTCTTTGAACAAGTCGATAAATTGAGAGTGGATTGCAGATAACTTTCTAGCATACATGGAGGGAAGCAAATAGAAAGCAGGTGCGTTGGCAAAACAGGGTGCTCTGTCCACCCAGCTCATTGCACTAGATAGTCTTATCTTATGTGGATCTTATTGGAGTGGCAGACACTGCCATGTTGAAGCTAGTGAGTGCCCTGCTAGAGGGCCTCAGACAGTTCTCAACAACATATGAGGTTCCACCCTTGTGGAATGGGGCTGCCAAAACATTGTTACATGGGCATACCATCTGGATCAACCGATCAGGTACCATGGTGACTGATTCTTCCATTCTTTGAGCAAATCAACGGAACTAAGAGTAGATTGCGAAAAGAAGCACACGTGGAGGGAAGCAATTAGAAAGCAGATGCATTGGCAAAATAGGGTGCCCTGTCCATCCAGCTCATTGTGCTAGCAGCACAATTTTGTGCAGACATGAAGTGTGATTTCTACAAGCAGGAATTGCATATAATAGAATGCAGTCACCTTTCAACCAAAAAACATTAAAAAAAAACGTGGTTTGAGGTGACGAATTCTTATAAGACATTATGGTGATCAAGAAGTTTGTTCGCATGGCTACCATGCAAAAATGAGGATCACAGAAATGGACGTCTAAGAGGTTGTAATACCACTTTACTTGGAGCATACATTTGCTATTTAACTCTTCCATCTTGACAACCAGCTGGTAACACCAGATGACTCTGGTTTTGTACAACGTTTCACCCTTGGGGAACTGGTGGCTAAGTTTCACTCTTGCTAACTGTTACAACACTAATCACATATATTGGCTAAGTATCGAAAATTTTATTCTCACTTTTTATTGCTCTAGAACTTGCAATACTTATATTGACGAGTTAGTATCATGTATCCCGATGACATATTTGCCTCATAAAAAACTTGAATAGATCTATAAATACTTGAAAATTTTGAAAATGGACCGTTTATAGAAATGTCACAAAATAAACTATTTTTTTGAAATCATTTTTTTTTAATTTTTATATTCATACATATTGAGGTCTAGAATATTGATTTGAGAGATTTTTGGTATCGGACCAATATTTTTGATGGAGTTTTAAGGTGCGCCGCTAATAAAGTTGACACCTTGTACAAACTTCTTCCTTTATTCATGGTTGCTGTCTAGGAATAACTTAGAAAATAAAAAATTGGGTAATAATTTCATGCAATGGTTGTATCATAGTATAATGCGACCACATTTTTAGAAAACCATGTTTGTAGTGTTTGTATGATCCAAAATTTTGTATACACATTCTCTTCATCTCAATAATCACTCTAAAAATAAATAAAAAATCAATTTGAACTCTAGATATGGTAAAGATGAGTCCCTTCCAACAATACGAATCTAGATCACTCTTTTGGTGAATTTCAATATTTTAGTCTTTATAAACTCAAAATCATTTTATTCTTTTTTAACATTGTTCATCTAATGATAATAAAGCCATCTAAAAAAATTGAAAAAAAAAAATAACTTCTAAAGCCTAGGTCTAAGTATCTCACCAAAATAGATAGCTTATGTTAATTGGGCTAAAAAAGTACTTTCGAGATTACGTTTTCAAAGTTTACTTTTTTTTTGTGATTGCCTATTTCAAATTTTGAATCAAACAAATCGCCCTAACATGGTTTTTGAAGGTTGTTGCATTATGTTATTGTACAACTGTTGCACGAAATCACTGCCCAATAAAATTTGTTATTTATGATGAATAGTTCAATGATAATGTTTAACCGATCCCAATTAATTGGAAAAATGCTAAAACGTTCATTACTTCAACGACAATGTTACCTCCTTATTGGCAATTTTCTTTGTCGCTGGGAGGGTTTTCGGATTTGATCAAGTTTGACGGGGTATTTATTGGTAACCACTGGGACTTAAAATACCAAATTAATGTGCAATTTTATTATGAAATAACATTCTAATTATAGAAAATATATGAATTCAATATACATATTTGTCAAACATTTTATAATAATAACGTGATTGTCATATTATTACATAGAAATTCATCCATTGTAAAAGAAAGAAAAATTGAATTTTAAAATTTTCATCAATGTGGTTCGAAGATCTGCACTAAAAAAATGAGAGGTAAAATCTTCGTGCCATACCCTTTTTACCTCATTTTTTGGATAAAGATCTTCCCTCTAAATTGGTGAAAATTTTGTTCTCTGAAGAGAGAGAAAAAAGAAAGAAAAAAGACATTTTTTACACTCCTTGAGATTCAACGGACTCGGAACCCTAGACTTTATACAACCCCAACCCCATTCTCTAGGATTTGGAATCTATACCATTACAATTTGCAAAACCCATTACTTAAATAATCACAAACAATTAATCTCAATGATGAAGCCACATCCCCATTCTCTAGGATTTGGAATCTATACCATTACAACTTGCAAAACCCATTACTTTATAATCACAAACATAATCTCAATGATGAAGCCACATACTTGGAGAGAGTAAACCTTCTTGGGACATTCGGTTTAGACAGAGAACCAGCCTTATTTAATCTTGTTGCTTATTACCATAGGAAAATGCTATTTCTCAATTAGCTAACCAGGCCTTTTGAATTTGGTATGAAGTTGATTATCTGCCCCCCCTAATACAGGTCTTATGATTTAAGAGGCAAAGGTAAATGTAATGTCCAAAGCAGTGTAAGGATTTCATCTGATTAAGAACCAGATTGAACACCTGTCAAAACGAGTTAGCACCACATTTCAAAAAATAATAAAATAAAATATTAGTTTAAGTTAAAAATATAAAAATACTATTTAAAAAACCTAACATTATTTATTAAACCAAGCAAGTTTTAACTAATTAAACCCATTTTGAATTGAGCCGGCCAAAGTGGTTTTAATTAATTTGCAATCAAATTAAACTAATTTTCATCCAAACCTTTTGAATTGAACTGGGCAAAAGAGTTCTAACTAGTTTTTGACCAAATTTACTTTTTAACTTCAAATTGGACCTGCCAAAACACCAAAATCCGTAGTCCGATCCAAGCTATTTACACCAAATTCAAACCTAGCCCATTGACACCAAAAAAAGGGAATTGCACCACATCAAATTCTGGCAATTTACAAATTAGCTACCAGTCTCTCTTTAAAGAATCTAAAGATTCGAGCCCTGAAAACAAATTATGGAAAGATAAAAAACAAACCACAATTACAGGAAAGATAAAAAACACACCACAAGTACAAAATTTATGGCCCAACTCTCTGTCCAAGTCTGACCCAAAAACACCACACAAAATTATTTTGTAATACTCCATCTTCACCTCAATGGCCCTCCGAAAAGAGAGAGAGAGAGAGAGAGAGAGAGAAAAAGAAATCCGAAGTATAATTTTATGTTCTATCCTTGCAGTAACAAAACCCCCAAAAAGAGAACTCCAATAATGAACAAGTAAACATCCAACATTGACACCACCCTAACAAAAATCAAACCCAAAAATCACCTCATCAAAAGGCTGAACTTACCTGAACCCATCCCCCAATTCTAGCCGAAAACTAAGACGCCGCTACAAACCCGTGTGTGTGTGAGAGAGAGAGAGAGAGACTACATCTTCGCCTCAGTGTACTCAGCCTCTGGTGCCTGGTCTCCGCCACCTTGTGAACCAGAATCCCCCTTTCCTCCTCCTTGCATGTGTTGCCCAATCTTCGAAAGTGCCTTGTTCGCTGCATCGATCTTCGCCCTAATTTCATCAATATTCTCTCCGCTGATCGCCTTTCTCAAATCTGATATTGCCCCCTCTATCTCAACAACCACCTCACTCGGCACCTTCTCCCTATACTCGCTCAAGCTCTTCTCAATGCTGTAGATAGTGGTATCCGCTGTGTTTTTCACATCAATCAAGGCCTTATTCTCTTGGTCCTTCTGAGCATGCGCCTCTGCTTCCCTCACCATTTTCTCTATCTCTTCCTCAGAAAGCCCACCCGATGATCGAATAGTGATTGCTTGCTCCTTTTGTGTGGCCTTATCCTTGGCTGAGACCTTAACTATACCATTAGCATCGATATCAAAAGTTACCTCAATTTGAGGCATTCCTCTTGGGGCAGGGGGTATACCTTGAAGCTCAAACTCACCCAAGAGCTTATTACCAGCTGCCATCTCTCTCTCTCCTTGCAAAACCTTAATCCCAACCTGGGTTTGGTTATCAGCAGCTGTAGAAAAGACTTGGCTCTTCTTGGTTGGAATTGTGGTGTTTCGATTGATTAAACGAGTGAAAATACCACCTAGAGTTTCAATACCTAGAGAGAGCGGTGTAACATCGAGTAGTAATAGCTCTTTGACATCACCTCTTAAGATACCACCTTGTATGGCAGCCCCCATGGCCACAGCTTCGTCGGGGTTTACCCCCTTGCTAGGGGCCTTTCCAAAAATTTCTTGAACCACTTGTTGGACCTTGGGTACCCTTGTCATGCCTCCAACTAAGAGGACTTCATCAACATCTTTCATTGAGATCCCAGCATCTTTAAGGCAGTTTTTGCATGGGTTACGGGTTCGTTCGATGAGGTTGTGGACTATGGTTTCGAATTTGGAGCGAGTTAGGGTTATGTTGAGGTGCTTGGCACCCGAAGCATCCGCAGTTATGAAGGGCAGGTTGATCTCAGTTTGAGCAGTCGACGACAGCTCAATTTTCGCCTTCTCGGCTGCCTCTCTAAGCCTTTGAAGGGCAAGGCGATCTTTGGTGAGGTCAATGGATTCTTGCTTCTTGAATTCACTCACCAAGTATTCAAGAAGGGCATTGTCAAAGTCTTCGCCACCCAAGAAGGTATCCCCATTTGTGGCTTTCACCTGTACAATATGTAAAGAAGGGTGAGGGCTATGCAACGTGAATGAATATCAAATCATGAGATGATGAGGATGAAATATGTAGACAGTAGTGATTATCATGAAAAAAAAATGCAAAGAACAAAAAATTCAGAAGGAGAGGGGGAATCAGTTCTAGATTCTTGATGGAAGAAAATCTGAGGACACATGAAGACTATATGGATGAAATAAATAAATCAGAAATAAATGCCAATCAGTAAAAAAGGGGACGTGGAGGAGAAATTTGCCAAGAGCAATACTTCTTTATGATGAGGGAAACAAATCGAGAATGCTCAAAAAAGAGAATTAGACCTTGAAAATAATGCAGCTGAAATTCTCACATTGTTTGTTTTTAATGAATGAAGAGATGCAAGTGATCATATCGGTAACTTCGAACAAAGAACATCTAGAAATGAACAGAGACTTAACAGAAACAACTGAATCAGGTTTATTAGAAAGAGAAAAACCAAAATAGCCATCAATCTATAAAGAAAACAACAGAAACAGAAAGTGAGACACAACCCAAATCAGGAAATATGGCAAGGATAGGCCCAACATTTTAATCAAGAACAAACAAATTATAAATCAAAGCAATATCAGCCTACCTCAAAAACTCCATTAGAAATCTCAAGGATGGAGACATCAAAGGTGCCACCACCCAAATCAAAGACAGCAATCAAACCCTCCTTATTATTAAGACCATAAGAAAGAGCAGCTGCAGTGGGCTCATTGATGATCCTTTGCACATCCAACCCTGCAATCCTACCAGCATCTTTTGTGGCCTGGCGCTGAGCATCATTGAAATAAGCGGGCACTGTTATGACTGCTTTAGAGATTGATTTTCCAAGATAAGCCTCTGCAGTCTCCTTCATCTTGGTCAAGACAAAGGCTCCAACTTGGCTTGGAGAGTATTGTTGGCCATTAATTTCAACCCATGCATCACCATTTGGCGCCTTAACAATTTTGTAAGGGACCATCTTCATTTCCTTTTGGGTTTGTGGGTCATCAAACCGCCTCCCTATCAAGCGTTTTGTACCAAAAATAGTGGAAGTCGGGTTGGTAACAGCTTGTCTTTTTGCTGGGGTTCCCACCAAGAGCTCCCCCTTCTGGTTGAAGGCAACCACAGATGGGGTTGTGCGTGCACCTTCAGCATTTTCGATCACTTTAGCATTCTGCAAAAGCATTTCGAATACATGAAATGCCTTGTATTTGAATTTCAAAAGTTTTCTTCTCCTCTCTTTTTTCTATTAGTGATTGGTGGACAAGTTGTTATATATTGTAGCAATATGAATAAGATAATCGGAATTATCTTGGAACAATAGAAAGGGATTACAGTCACACACACACACACACACAGAAAGAGAAAGAGAAAGAGAAAGAGGGGGCAGTAAATATTGTGCCAACTCCAATTCTCTACTTTAAAAATAACTTTAAATTTCCTCAAAAAAATAACTTTAAATTTCTCTTTCCTTTTCTTTTTGAAATAAACCTAAATTTCTTTTGAGACCTGCATTTTAACATAATGGATAAAAAATACAACAAAAAAGAGAAAGGACGATTATATTTCAGAAACGGGCTGACTCATCAATGTTAGACAAAGTACAAACAGGCTGAGTCTACTCATTCTAGTAGGTATTGGGGAAACAATAACAAAAATCAAGGAGAGCTATGGAGAAACTTTTTGACATTTTGTAAAACAAATAAGTCATACTTCCAGTTCCTCTGAATGTAAAAAGAAGGACAACAATGAGTGGACACTTTAGCATTCATTTTTCATCAATCACAACAAAAAGGAACAAGCAAAGATAATCGTACTGAAGAAAGAGAGTTTCACATCTACATAAATATCTGGGAGAGCAAAACGATGATAGAAAAATGGAAAATAGGATGGCGAAGTTGACCAATCTACTTCCACAGTTTCATCACCTCCACTAAATTTGTTACAATTCTCGACTGATTAGAGCATATGGCTCTTGGGTCTCTCTCAAGAAAAGGGAGACCTAAATAAACTCAAGTAAATAAATTCATGGTTTCAGAACAAGTTGCACTAAATTGGTTACACTTCTCGACTGATTAGAGCATATGGCTCTTGGGTCTCTCTCGAGAAAAGGGAGACCTAAATAAACTCAAGTAAATAAATTCATGGTTTCAGAACAAGTTCCTGGGCAAACAAAACCTAGTTAAAGAAAGAACCAGTTGATTTATGCGTGACTTCAACATTGCAATGTCTTCTAGGGAGAGAAACAAAACATCACAATTTATTGTCTAAACCGTACAAATCAACATTCCTTAGATGTATATCTAGAGGGAGAACAATCAACAACCAAACATGGAAAAAGAGAATGTCATAATTCAAACATTCCTCACCAAAAAACTGAATCTTGACAAGTAAAAGAAAATATTTCTTCTGGGATTTTGCAGACCAGATAGTGTCTGGACCTAGGAATCTAAACCGGTCAGGTCTGGCCCAGGGCGCCACTCCAAGACCTGACCTGAATATACATGGAGGGAGTGTAGCTAAAAAACTAAAATCAAATGGAGTTGGGCAGCATAATGGGAATTGTCACATCTTTCAAAATTTTGTAGAGCAATAGACGAGAGAGCAACCAGCAAGGATCAACATGATGTACCTTTCCCTCCATTACTGAAACACACGAATTAGTGGTACCCAAATCAATCCCAATAACTTCATTGCCCGCGGGTTTGGAGCTGAAAAAAACACCCAAGTAAACACTCGGCTAATCAAGTATTTGCCAAAACCCAACTTAATCCTCCGAATACCAAAACAGGAAAAAACAATGAAAGCTTGGGCTTCACATTATTCGAATACCTAAAAGCCCTTGCTATGGCTCCCCATCTCTGGTTCAAAATAGAACCAGTATTACATGTTCTCAGATGGCTAGAAACCTGCACAAAAACAAAAAACTCATCAATGCAAATTTCAATGTTTCAAATCGTACTATGAAGCCATCCAAGAATTTTCACTTTCATACGGTGATCCTTCTTGGTATTTTAAAATCAAAGCGATGAGGATTCAGATATGAACCTAGGCATTTGAAATTGTACATAAGCAAGCACGTACACATAGAAAGCTTGTAAAACGAATAATCTGTTTAGATGGCTGGTTAAATAAATCAAATGATGACAAAGCACGTACACATAGAACAAATGCTTACATATAACACCATTATTTCCTGTAAAAAAATCTACATTTTTCATAACTGATAGGCATTCGCCGTACCCAAATCAATTCCTATCAATCATTCTCTACTCTTAAGAAAAGGGAGCAAACTTTTGATACTCCATTGCTCACAAGCTAGTAGTCTCGTGTTGCAATGCGGTTAGTTCCTCAGTAACCAGATGATGGAGAGAGAGAGAGAGGATAACAACGCTCGTAATCCAGGTGAGTGCTCTATTATTTATAACAAGTGAGACAGAGAGAGAGAGAGAGAGAGAGATAAATAAATCTTCCACTGCCAATGCTTGAACAAACGCCATTACTTTTTCAGTCAATATAGGATGAGAGGTACATAGATTTCTTCTTATTTCATAGGAAAGCATTTGAGAGAGAGAGAGAGAGAGAGAGAGTTTGATAGAGAGAGATCTTCCACTTTCAATGCTTGAATAAAATCCACGATTTTGCAGTCAATACAAGAAGAGATATACAGTTTTCTTCCTGCTTCATATGAAATCTATCATTGGAAAGAACGAGAGTAACATACCTTAGAAGCTAGGGTTTTGGAGTGGTAGCTCCTTGCAAGCCTCGAAACAACAAAACCTAACGCCATCGAAAACCACAGTTGCAGAGACGAACACAAAGAAATTAACCCTCCTCTCTCACAAATTGGTAGCCGCCATATATGCTCTGCCTTTAGATTGTTCTAGAATGCTGAAAACGTCCATTACTTTATTTAGCCCATGGTTCGTACTCCCGCAGGCGCACGCTCAGAAAAATGGCTTGGAATAAATATTTGGTTTTTTTGGGTAAATCGGTGGGGATGACCGGTCCCTATGTTTTGTTTTTTTTTTTTCCTTCTTTCTAAATTAACACTTCAAAAAAAAAATTACGTGCATGAAGGCTAAATATACAAGCATTACATAGCAACTTTGATACACTCTTTTCTAATACACTTTTGCTAATATAGAAATAAAATACACTTTTGCTAATATAGAAATAAAATGTACCCCAGAAATTTAATAGCAATAGTGTATTACAAAATAGTGTCTCAAACTTGAAAAATCTTCCAATTGATCGAATGGATTTCAAGTCCTGAAAATAATGCATATTGTAAAAAATGATAGCAACTTTGATACACTCTTTTCTAATACACTTTTGCTAATATAGAAATAAAATACACTTTTGCTAATATAGAAATAAAATGTACCCCAGAAATTTAATAGCAATAGTGTATTACAAAATAGTGTCTCAAACTTGAAAAATCTTCCAATTGATCGAATGGATTTCAAGTCCTGAAAATAATGCATATTGTAAAAAATGATGTGAACATCTATTTTTAAGATTTTTAATAATTATTTTTTTAAATTTCAATTTCATAATTAAGGTTGAACATAAAACTTTCAAGTTATCATAAGATTTCCAAAACTTATCATAAGATTTCCAAAACTAGAACAATATCTTCCGGCAAAATTTAGAGTTGCGCCTTGCTTGTACAGTATAAGGGTCGACACATTATACAAACCTCACCTTTTTTAGTAGATTTTGCATTAATATTATCACATTCTCTTCTCTAACTTTTCTCCTGAAACCGTCAATGTCTTCGACTTCAATTCATAAATAAAAGCTTCTCCTAAAACAGCCAATGTCTTCGGCTTCAAGTCGTAATAAGTTCGAATCTTTTCATAACCATTGCTTTTTGATAATAAGGTTAGGGTTGTGGTGGTAGCACCACCTAAACCCCAGCTAAAGTTTAGACTTCCATTTTCACTTGACGTATTAAAAAATAAAATTAAGAAAGGACTTGTCATCTCACATAATTATTCAAAAAATAAAAAAATAAAGCAACACGAATGAGGCCTCCACTATAACAAGTAATAGCAATAAAATTTTCAAAACTACCTTTTATACACAAAAGTAAAATATACAATATTAATAAATTTCAGAATAATTTCAAGCTCTGCATACTTTTTTGAGGACTTCCCCTAAATCCCTAAATAACTAAAATGCTTTCATTTTCTATCCAAAACAAAGAAGTATTCTCAAGCGAATCTGGTAGCTTATCCGAGTAAGATCAAACCGTCAAATAATAATAGGTGTTCATCTAGACAGTATATAAAGGGTGGGAAATCATCAACCATCTTACATCTAATAATTAAAAAATCGGCAAGCAGATCGAAACAACCTTCGTCCACTAGAACTCCAAAAGGTTTGTATTTTTTAATGATCTTAAATTAAAAATTGAGCTAAATTCGAAGGACTCACTGCAGTGAACTCCAAAGCTATGATGAAAGCAATTCCCATCATATTTTTTTGGGAAAATTATAAAAATCCCCCAAGTATACTATCTATGTAACTTACTCTCAACTAATTTTTTCTCTCATTTTTTTCCCCACAACCACCTTTCCTTGCAAATACCTCCCCAATTAAAAAAAAAAAAACAGACTAAACTACCCCCTCTCTCTCCTCATGACTTTTACCCACGACTCTCTCCCCGTTGAATAGGTCGCTCCGGCAGTTGAATATGTCGCTCCGGCAATTGAATAGGTCGCTTCGGTGGTTGAATTGATCGCTCCGGCAATGAAGACAAGAGCTCTGGTAGTACAAAGATGTGCTCCAACTGTTGAATAGGTTGCTCCGACGGTTGAATAAATCACTTCAGCAATGAAGACAAGTGCTCCGGTAGTACAAAGATGCGCTCCGGCAACACACTTTTTTGAGCCACATCGCTCCGGCGGTTCAATTGGTCGCTATGGCAATGCGCTACTTGGGATGGCCAATTGATTTTTTTTGTATGGGATGGGCATTTCCATCAAAAAAAAATGGTTGTGGGGGAAAAAATGAGAGGAAAGGTTAGCTAGGAGGTAAGTAGCATAGATAGTATACTTGGGGGTTGTAATTTTCCCTTGTTTCTTTGCATATATTTGTTGTTTGACAAGGCTAAGTTTTTATACATGAAAAATTGCTTCATGCGGGTTTGACCGCACTTCTACAATATGCAATCCAGATGTATAAAGCATTCATCTTAAACATGGAAGCAAATAGGTGATCCATCTGACAGTTTGTTTTCTTAATATAATTATGGAAAAAAATTATATAAGGTTGCAACCTTAAAATGTAGAATTAAAGATGCACCACAAAAAATCATCGAAAAAAGTTGTTTTGATGTTAAAAACGCTTTAATTGATCATCTCAATATCGAGATGTATGAATATGAAAAAAAAGATTTTGAGTCGTATAAATAGTGCATCTTGCAACACATTATCTAGACCGTCCATTTTAAATATTTTAATATGCTTGATTTTAACTATTTTGGAGTTTAAAATTTTATAATTAAATATGAAAATAGATTTTGAGATAATTCTTAAAAAAATTACACAAAAATTACATGTTATGATAAGATTTTGAGGTGCACCTTAATTGGATTGTTTAAGGTTGCAACCAAACCCTATAATTATTATTTCTAATTTCCAATTTCTTTTTTGTGTTCCATATTCATGATCTCTATGTTAAAGATTATATACTCTCTATAAGTTAAGATCAAATTATATTTAAAAATATATTTATTGCCAAGCCCGCATTTCTACAATATGCAGGCTAGCCGCATGGAAACCTTGTCCTTTATACATTGCTTGTATCCCAAATTCCCAAAGAGCTTTACCCATTGAATGACTAATGTGCTCTGGCAGGACCATAAAATATTTTAGTCAATTTTATTTCCAAAAATGGACCTGGCTTGATCGCCAGGTTAGGGCATTTTTCCCCTCTTTCCCTCTCTTCTAACCTCTGTTTCTGTGTAGGGTTTCCTAGCCTCTATTTATTTATAGGGTTGGTAACCTGCCTCTATTTGCCTGGCCTAGCCCTCGGGCCCCATCTTATGACCTAGGCCCTAAATTTTTTTTAAAGTTAATCAATTAGAAGGTTTTTTAAAATCAAAACAACATTTTATGATAGATTATTGAGGTGCACCTTAATTCTATATTTTAAAGTTATAACCTTAAAAAATAGAATTACATATGCACCTCAAAAATTTATTGGTGTATATATATATATATATATATTGAGTCCCAAATAGTGCATCTTACAACACATTATTTGGACCATCCAATTTCAAGATTTTTATATCTTACAACACATTATCTACTTGATTTTAACCATTTTTTGAGTTTAAAATTTTAAAGAAGAGGCAACCAAATGGAAATACTAAATGAAAATTATGCTGTTCAAATCCACTTAAAAAACCAACAAAATATTTACAACAAACAAAAAACACAAAATAAAGCATAGTGCTAGAAAATAAATCAGGAGAATGTGATCCTTTAAGATTTCGCTATAAAATGGTCTCAAAAAACTTATTGATGTTTGCAAGTGGAGAGTAGTTAATTATATTGTAAACTCATATACCAATATCGATATAAATAATCAAAGTAAGATACACCATAAAACCCCTTTGGAAGATATTGCCCTATTGCCTCTATTCTTCAGAGGGAGGAGAGGGGAATGGGGCCAATGGACCAGGACCTGAGAAGTAGACCCGACTTCCAAGTATGGGTCTAGTTGGGTCTGGGTCTAGGTCCAAGACCTGACGAGTAGACCCGACTTCCAAGTATGGGTCTAGTTGGGTCTAGGTCTAGGGCCAAGTCCGATAACTTCAAGTCCAAGTCCCACATTGTTTTTTTGGGTCCAGGTCTGGAACATGCCAGACCCGACCTACTGCCACCCCTATTTTTGGGGTTCATTTGTAAAATGCAGTCGAACTCAGGTATCCCTATTCCAATCGTTCAATGAGTGAGAGCATTATCTTTTCCTTATTATTTTGAGAAACTTATCAAATTATACCTATTAGTTTGATAAATCAAATCAAGAGATGTGTCAACTTATCAAATTATACCTATTAGTTTGATAAATCAAATCAAGAGATATGTCAACTAATTAAATTATACCTATTAGTTTGATAAATCAAATCAAGAGACATGTCAACTTATTAAATTATACCTGTTAGTTTGATAAATCAAATCAAGAGATATGTTGTTAATTATTTAGCTCTTTATAATTTTTGTTTTTGTTTTTAACCATACTATGTGTTCCAAGCTGGTCATGCTGATCCCAAACTAACAAAAATGAAGGCTATATTAGTAACTAGCCTAAACTTTTATCACATCTATTTCATGAATCCTCAACTATGTTATGGGTAATGATCTTTGATAGAGCGGATGGCAGAATTGGGATAAGGTTATGATGACGATAATTTTATTTGTTATTCAAAGTGACTTTGTTTAAATTTATAAGGAATAAATATAAAGTGGGTGCAGTTTGCATACGGATGCATTCGTAGATGTAGAGGTAAGGTGCACCTTCAAATTTTATCATGGTATATAATTTTGATGTAAAATGTTCTTAGGATTATCTCAAAATCTATTTTTATGTCTAATTATAAAATTTTTAATTTCAAAAGTGGATAAAATCAAGTAGATCTATAAACATATGAAAATCTAAAAAATGGACGGTGTAGATAATATGTTGTAAAATGCACTATTTATGAGACTTAAAATCTTTTTATTTTTTATAATCATACATCTCGATGTTGAGATGATCAATCAAAGGGTTTTTCAACATTAAAACTACGTTTTTTGAGGGATTTTTGAAGGGCATCTGTAGTTCTACATTATAAAGTAGCATCTTTATATAAACTTTTTCTATATGAAATTATGGGATTGTATCATATAAGACTTTATTTTTGGTACAAAGAGATGGTAATCACTTTTAACCATTGTATGTACGATCCAATAGATGAAAATATGTTACAACGTTCGAAAAACTTTATTTTGGCTTCCGTGCCTACCACCTGATTTGCACCTCCTTATCAAACTAAATGGTCTCATGGTAAACATTTTTTTTCAGGGAAGGTGAACTTAAAAACATTTGTTGAAGTTATTAATAAGTTTCATGGTCAAACAAAAGGGATAAGGTTGCCTCCTTATACTGTGTACACTTATAAAATTTACTTAGGGACGTCCTTTCGGCATAAAAAACCTTATGATAGCTTCAAAATCTTTTTTTATCCTCATTTAAAAATATTGAAAATAGACAGCCGAGATAACTTGTTACAAGACGTACTAGATTTTTTACTTATGTTTTTTTTTTTTTCTTCATGTCCATTCATTTCGAGGTTGAAATGACCAGTTGGAAGGTTTTCCCATGCCGAAACACCCTCCATAGGATTTTTGTGGTGTACCTTATTTCAACAGTATAAGATTGCAACTTTTTATAAATTTTGTTCCAAACAAAAATCCCTTTGAACGAAAAAGTTTATATAAGGATGCAACTCAAAAATCCATGTGAAAAGGTAGTTTTAATGTTGAAAAACCATTTGATTGATCGTCTCGACAACGGGACGCAAGCTGCACCCTTATATTAATCCATTACTTACAATTCAAAATTTTAAAAATCGAATACACGTCCGCATGAAACGCGGTTCCAAAGCGGACGGTCCAGATCGCCTTGCATGAAATCCACCGCCACTTATTTCCACAATTTTTTCGTTTTAAACGTGGCGAATTTTCATTGGAAGCAGTCATAAAAGGCAAGCTCTGATTGGCTAGGTGACGACGAAATTCAAAATTCAATTAGCGTCAGAGATTTTGCCATCTAGAGAGAGAGGGATTCCTTGGGGACTAAGAAAACCCGAACTTTTAACCCCTCTCTGTCATGTTTGTAAACTTAATCATCGCTTCAAAACTTTCCTGTAAATTATTCTCCCTTTTATCTGTAAATTCGTTTAAATCCCCATTTCATTATATTTTTTTAGGAAAATTCGGTATTTTCCATGTCCTTGCTTCCTTTATTTGGAAATCCTTCTCAATTCCCTCCTGTTTTCTCTCAGTAATATTTTTTTTCTCCCGAATTTGTTGTTTTTCATGGCTGAATTGGTAGAAGAAAGTTTTAGAGAAGACAATTGGGATTTCACGCTTGATGATATACCAGATATCACACTGGACTTGGATATCTTCTCAGAGCCGTTGGTTTATCATCCATCAACTCCGGAAACCCTAACGAAGAATGCGAGTTCTTTTTATTCACCTTCGGAAACGCTGGAATATTTTGATTCTTTGCACTCACATTCTAAAACCTTAACAGAGAATGAAGAAACTACGATTAATGGAATGGAGCAGATCATGACTGTGGAAGAAACAGTAGAACCGAATATCACGATTATGGAAGAAAACTTAGACTTGAAGATCAGAGAGATGGAGAAGGCCCTTCTAGTGGAGGACGAGCAGTTACAGGATGATGAAGGTTTCTCTGAGATTTTTTTCTCTGACATATTCCCTGAAAACTCGGAGAAGAGCTCTGAATCTTCACCGGTTTCTGGTGTTTCTTCTCAATCTGTTGATATTTTTGCCGGAGAAGCAGATAAACAAGTGGAACCTTCACCTGAATCTGGTGGCCTTGTCGAATCGCCGGTTATTGTTGAAGATGAGAGCAATGTAGCGGAGGAGAAAGAAGAGGAAAAGGAGGGAGATGAAGATCACTTGAGCAAGAAGAGAAAGAGGTAAGGCCAACTTGCCTCTCTTTTTTTTTTTTTTTTGAGAGAGAGAGAGAGACAGAGAGATTAATCCTGTACGATTTACAATTTTTTTCTTGCTTTATGTTACGACCCAAGAGTACAAAGAGGGTAATGAAAATTGGTTCTAGTTGGAAGTAACTCGGTAAAATCTATAATTTGTTTTTTTCCCTAAAAATGTTGAAAACCTTTCAAGGTGAAGATAGTGATTGACGTCCCGTAAATCTGAGAACTTGACTTTAATTTCTGATTCTGGTTGTATTGTCTTGATTTATTGACTCTAAGTTTATTTCATTTTGGATATCAGGAGAAATGATAGAGATCATAAGTAGATTCTTATATGCGATGGTCTCTCCAAAAGCCCATCCGGATCGGTGAATCAATGATCTGGATCGAGAATTGGCCGAATCGGTCCAATTAAGCTTTAAAAAAAATCCAAAAAAATAATTACAATTCATTATAAATGTTGTATTTTTAGGAATCCATTAAGAAATAGGGTACTATTTTATTATTTCATTTTTTTTTCATCAATTTACGAATATTGAGATGTTATTTCCATGTTTGAACTTATGGTAACCATTAAATTTGCATTACATAAAAGAAAAATCATAGAATCATGGATAAAATATATAATCATATATGGACTATAATAAAGAATGGATTAAATTGATGAAAAAAATAGCCACTAAAATCTCGAATTATTGTATTATTTTTTATTTTATTTTTTATGACATTATTTTTTTCATTTTATTTTTTTAGAAGATAAATTGTTTTTTGACATGCATGTTGTATTATCTTTTATTTTAATTTTTTCCTTTTATTTTTTTGATGATATTTTTTTTTCCTATCTTTTTTTTTTTGGAAGATAAAAATAAAATACTTTTTTTCCCTTTTTTTTTATGACATTATTTTATTATTTTATATTATTTTTTTTCTTTTTATTTTTTTATGATATAATTTTTTGCCTTTTATTTTTTTTTGGAAGATAAAAATAAAATGTTTTTTTTTTTATGACATTATTTTCTTCCCGTTTATTTTTTCTATGACATTATTTTTTTTCTCTATATTATTTTTTATCACATTATTTAAGACAAGTAAAACACAAAAGTAAAACACATTTTTTTTGTGACATTATTTGACAAAAGAAAAACTATTTTCTTATGACATGAAACTATTTTTTTTGACATTTGACAAAAGAAAAATTGTTAATACCGCGGAGGTTCGAACTTGAAACTTCCTATATACTATCCAACGTGATAACCAACTCCCCGACGACACCACGTTTTGCAAGTTATACTACAATAAATCAATATATTGATTTAAGATCTCAAAGTTGGGCATTGAGAATTGTCCCACATTGAAAAGAGGTGGGACAAACAATGGTTATATAAACAATTGGAACATCAGTGCTCTTGAAAATTAACTTGAGACGAGAACCACGTGCGGTGCACGTGAGATTTATTCACATGCGCGGTGCACAATGATGTTTGCCACAGTCAATCTTGTGACGCGAGATTTATTCACACGTGCAGCGCATGGTGACAATTCACTATGGGGTCATCCATTCTTGTGTCGACTCGGGCGAATCCGTTGCAACTCATCGATTTTAAAACACTGGTTGGTACAATAGAATCGACGAAACCACCCCCCCCCCTCTTGATACCCTTGTCCTATAATGTGGTAGCTTTTGTCTAGGGGTATTTTAAGTAATTAGTCAATGGTAACATATAAATTCCTAATAGTAAAAAAGATATTTATTAACTATAGGGGATAATGATATTTTCAAAAAACTATAGTGAATGATGACATCACTAACATGTTGTTTGACATCACCCCATACAACATCAATTGTTTTTTAATCACTAATAGAACAAAACTATTTTCTTATAGAAATATCCATTTTAACCCTCTTAATGATAAAAAATGCTCTTGCCTAAAATTTTGTGTTACAAATCAAGAGTATTTAATTGTCAAAAAATGTTGAGTACATTCAGTAAATAATCCATATTAGACAGTATATAATCCATATTAGACTTGACTGGACAAATTGGTCCAATTGCCAACTGGTGCCTTGGTCATACTGTCCAAAGTAAAAAAAACCTTGTTCAGTTGAAAATCAGTCAAAACCAATCTTCCAAAGGTGGGTTTGGACTTGCTGCACTAGAAATTTGGGAGACAAAATCAAATATATTTACATTTTTTAATATTATTTTTATTTTGTATTTAAGTCCTATTCAAACTGTTAACCGGCTATCAAATTTTCTCAATTTTTTTTTTTTTTTAATGACTTGACTGGATCCCTTAGGTTTGGTGGCCTCTCTGGTTATGATAACACTACTGACAGTTGTGTGATGTTCGGAAGTAGATATTTTCTGTTTGAATGGGTACATTTAACGTGCCTTGAATTTTTTCTATCTGATATCAATAAGGCAGTGCTCTGCTCATCAAAGTACCATCTTAGAATTTGAGTGATTTACATTCAACTATTGGGGCATTTGAGGAAACAAAGGAGACCTTTGAGACTGCTTTTGCTCAGCCGTTGTGGAGTTTTGCTTGTTTGCAGGCTCACAAAAGCCTTGTGTAGCCACACTCCATTGTACCATCTTTGAATGTTGAATGATTTACCTTCAACTATCGGGGCACTCGAGAAAACAAAGGAAACATTTGAGACTGCTTTTGCTCAGCCATTGTGGAGTTTTGCATGTTTTCAGGCTCACAAAGGCCTTGCGTGTTCTTAGTTATCTCTGATTAAGCCATACTCCATTGCTTTTTTTGATTCCAGCGCCCTGGCCAATGGAGAAAAGAGCCCTTGTGGTTGCGACCTTCGTGTGATCCAGTCTGACACACTCCTCTCTATCTGTTTTGCCTATGCAAACAAAAAGGCATTTGTTCATTTGACGTTTATATCCGCTTGCATTAAATGCATGCTCAAAGTCCCCATACTGGCTTAATGTTTTCCGAAGTGAGTAACATCATGCAGTATTCATTAAATCATTGTCTCTTTTCTCACATGCTTGCCCCTATGTTGTTCGCCTTCCATGTCATCATTGCTTTCAATGCATTGCCCAGGTTATGCGGGTGGTCTTTGAGGCCTGTGGATCTTTCTCTTTCTCTAATTGATATTGTTTGCATCGAAAATTCTTTCGTGCTTGATTGGGTTAGCAGACTGATCTTAAGCTGACTTTTCATTGTCCTATGAAGTGTTTCCTAGCCGACCGAATACCCTGAAAATTTGTAAGCGTATCATTGTATAGCATCCTTGGACCAAGCAGCCGCCAATTCATAAGTTGCAACTGGAAAGGGAATCTTGTGACCTACTTGTTACAACATGTGCTCCCATTAGAAGATAACTGTACCCCTTACCTGATCCAAAAATCTAGCTTACTCATTATTTGTTATCAGATAAAATTATATTATCCTGTTTGAGAAAATTGTACATTTTCTCCTAGTAAAATCCTAGCTTGGTGGAATTTTTGGTCCCCACAATTTGTGGATGTAACCACCCAACCGAGCAACATAAAATTCTGAAGGTTAGACTGTCCATTTTTTTGACAGTTAGATCTAGGTGTTCGAGAATTATTGTTTTTTGAAACGTTATTTATCGTTTCTTTTTTTGTTTTTATAGAGTTGTTTTTTTTTTTGGTTCGAGTCTCTAATGATTCTAAAGTGGAACTCAAAATTTTAGATCAAGAGATATTCCTAAGTAGGGTGTTTTGCCCTAGGAATCCAGTATACGATTTACTTTCGCTGGAGCATTGCATACACATCCTTTGGTTATTCAAGAGCGAATGCCTTTACACAATCAGATAATCTATTATTTGTACTTTCATTTTTAATCCCCATCCATTTATATTGTGCCCATACTTCCTTTCTACTATCCTAAACCAGAGAGATTCAATGATAATAATAATCTGCAGGCACTATGAACCATAGTTTTGTGGTGCTTGAACAAAATATGCCTTTATGTGCCACCCATTTGGTTCTCAAGCCTGCATGACTTCGAATTTATAGGTGGGTGATGAACAGTCCAACCTCCGCTATCTAGTTACCAATCTGTTTGTCTTTTAAACATCTATATATCACTTTTAACTTGCTTGATGCTCATGTTACGAAAAATTAGGATCACCTTCTTGACTTCTTCACTTATTAATTCTTAACTATTTTGTCATGAGATTTTACTGGGAGTGCATCACTGGTCTTTGGCTCTTATATCATTTTTTAGGTTGTAGATATATCCTAAAAGTGCACCAAGACTAGACCTAGGTGGTGGTCCCACTAGTCGGACCACCGCTCTTTGCCTTGGCTTGTTTAGTTCAAAGCAAAAATTGGGTTTGGTTGAAATTTGGTCAGAATAAATATTTAGTTGGATGGACTAGCTGATTTTAAACCATGCGACCAGTTAAATGAAGTTGGGAGAATTTTTTTAATGCATTTTATATTTTAAAATTATTTTGTCTAATATTTACCTTTTATCCAGAATCCTATCCAAGCGGTTTGATTACAGTTTGGACTGGTTTGATTGGACCAAACCCCTCCGTTCAGTGGCTGGTCCAATCTTGATAACGCTGCACCTTTGTCTTTTTTGCTTCAGTGCAGTTGTGCACCTGTCATGTTATTCCCTCTCATCATGGGAACACCACTTTCCATACCAACCTCTTGCTATAAATGGCCGTGATCTTACTTTCTTACTTTATCATTACTAGGTTCTAAGCCAATCCTACACCAGAGTAAACGAAGCTAGTAAGGGTGAAGAACTATATCTTATCAAAAAATGAGCGGGTTTGATGGGGTACTATCTTCTATAGTACCATGTATATCCCAATTGACCTTTATTGTCAATCTCAAAGGACTTCTAACCCATCGGTACTGTTCTCCATTTGTGTGCTAAACACATGTATTGGTCCTTTGTTCTTCATCCATCAAAGAGAGATTTTTGTTCTTGACGCACGAGAGAGAGAGTACCAGTGCTTGGTAGAACTTTTTTTTGGGGGTGGAAGCATTTTGGTGTGAGTTTCAAGGTTTTTTAGCGTTCTGCTATGCAATTTGCAGGCAAATCAGAAACAGAGATTCAGCCTTGAGGTCAAGAGAAAGGAGGAAAGAATTTGTAAAAGACCTGGAGATTAAGAGCAAGTATTTAGAAGCTGAATGTAGGAGACTGCAGAACTTGCTTGGTTTCTGCTACGCAGAGAACAATGCTTTGCGTCTCCACATACAGAAGCGAAACAATGAGGTTGCTGCAGGCCTTGTCAGAGCCAAACAGGAGTCTGCCGTGCTCCCGTTGGGTAAGCTTCTTTGGAATATGTACCAGTTTACTATGACAAGACCCCATTTCTCTTTTTGGGCTTCTCTCACTAAAATGCCTGATTCCTCAATCTCATTGCTTGACTTAGTCCTGTTTGCAGACGGACATCTCTCTTTCTCTCTCTCCCCCCCTTACCCAACCAACCTCAGGCTAGTTGCTGTGTGATCTATATCCCCTAAGGTTTTTACAAATTGTTAATTGGATTGGTGTCTCTAAAAGGTTTTTGTAAATTCTTAAATGGATTGGTATCTCTCTGTCTCTCTCCCATACACTCGGATACACACAGACTGACACAAGTTTTGATGTATCTCAGTGTTTGTACTTTTATGTGTCTCTCTCTCTCTCTCAAGCCAGTGTAAGCGTGTCATGATCAACAATTGTATGATATAGATCTCCATGATTGCCTTCTCTGCCTATTTCACTCCAACTACTTTGTTCACCTCTGTTGTTTTTGGTTCTTTTTTTTTTTCTATGTACAGAATCCCTGCTGTTGGGTTCCCTGTTTTGGCTCTTGATAATGGTCAGCGCATTCCTCTCAATCGGTCCTTTCAGTGTAAGCCACCCAGAGTTGGTTCTCAGACTCGACAGAAGCCTAGGACAGGAGCTCACAAGTCTAAAAAGACTCTGGGTTAGGCCAGAGACATTGGAGTCGAAGCCAAGGTCACCAGTGGCCTTATTGTTGAGGAGGTGGAGGTTTAGTAGGACGAAAATGAAAATGAGGGCCATCTCTTGCAGTATGGATTTGAATTTTAGAGAGAGGGTTTCATGGCCCTTGTTCAAGGATGGTGATCTTAGTATCTCTTGAAGGATTTTGAGGGGTAAGATGCCAAATATAGTTGTCTTGTTAGGCTTTGGTTCAGGTTGTCACATCTAGCTCCTTTTTCTTCTGTTTTTTTTTTCCCCTCTTTTTGAGGGATAGATAGCTAGAGAGAGAGAGAGAGAGAGTGAGAGGGTGGGGGGTTGCTTTTTGGATTTAATTGTGTGTGAGAGAGAGAGGTGGTTGCGTTTGGATTTAATTGAGCTTTCATTGATACAATCACCAAGGACCTTTTTAGCTGGTAGTTACTTTTGCTAGTAGTTTATTTTAAATTTCATTTATTATCCTAGTATTTAGTTCTGCTATCTGTTTGGTAGTTATATTATATTAGACATAATATTCTGTAGAATATTAGTTGTGTATAAGTTTAGTTGTTTGATCTCTCTTTCGACTTCTCAAATTTTGGGAAAGTTCTTTTGATCTTAAATTTTGGAGACCTCCTAAATTTTTCTGATCGAAAATTTGAATTTAGGGAACTTTTAAGTTTCTTAGCATTTCGATCTCAACCTTCAAAATTGGACGGTTTTCATTCAAGTTTGAGCTATGATTTTCATTGAAACTTGTAGGGCAATGCACTATTGAAATAAATGAGCCGTGCACTCTCTCGGGAGTGTGAAATCTTCTGGCTAAAAAACATGAAATCGCATGACAAATAATATTAGTTTTTGTTCTTAATATATTTATCGGAACAATGAATTTATGGTGGGAACAAGATTCACCACCAGTGCTATATGAGCAAATCGTAAATATGTGCATAATATTTCTTGTACTTAACTTGAAAGTGATGCATTGACCCGCAACACTCCCTTGGGTAAAAGATATATGAAGGTTTCGAATTCACTTTGCAATTCCGATAGGCAAACCATTGATTTTTATGGTACTTCATGTTAAAAAATAAGTTAATTAGAGCAACTCCTAAAAAAAAAAAAAGAAAGAAAGAAAGAAAGAAAGGGTGTGGTTTCTGTAAGGTTGCAATCGGTATAGAGAGTGAACGCGAATCTCGATGTGCAATGCGGCATTGAGGCAGTCAGTACAGTAGGGACTTGTTTTGTTTTGCGAAACATAAGGCCTTTTGGTAGATGTACAGTACAGTAGGGACTTGTTTTGTTATGCGAAACACAATGTCTTTTGGTAGTTGTCTAGTTCCGAATACTTCACTTACTTTGTTCAGGCTAGCAAATGTGTTGGAGGTGTACCGACTTGTAATTTTGGTGCAAAATTTTTTTTAAGATAATCTCAAATTTTATTTTTATATCTAATTATTAAATTTTAAATTTAAAAAATAGTTAAATAAAAAGCTAGAAAATGGATGGTGTAGATAAAGTGTTGCAAGATGCACGGTTTTTTGGATTCTATGTTTTTTTTTTCATATTCATACATCTCGATGTTAGTGATGATCAATTAGTCGTTTTTCAACATTAAAACAACATTTTCTAATGGAAAAAGTTTATATAAGGATGTAACTTTATAATGTAGAACTACGGATGCATTTCAAAAATCCATTGGAAAAGGTAGTTTTAATGTTAAAAACCTTTTGATTGATCATCTAGACATCGAGATGTATGTCCATGAAAAATAAAGAGATTTTAAGTCTCAGAAATAGTGTATTTTACAACATATTATCTAGACTGTTCATTTTCAAGATTTTCATATCTTTATAGATCTACTTGATTTTAACTATTTTTCAAATTTAAAATTTTATAATTAGATATAAAAATAGATTTTGAGATAATTCTAAAAACATTTTAAATCAAAATTATATACCATGATAAAATTTGAAGGTGCACCTTACTTCTATAGCTAAGGATGCAGCGTATGCCAACTACATCATTTTCTAATGGATTTTTTATGTACATCTTTAATTCTACATTTTAAGGTTACAACCTTATATAAACTTTTTCCAAAACGAAATCTTTCATTGCGTATTGAAGGCTATGAAATCTCAAGACTGCAATTGTATTTATTTATTATATTGTGGAAACCCAATTTGCCTTTTTATTGATTTCTCCTTCGATTTTCCCAATCTTTTGAAATCGAAATGATCCTTTTGAATCCCTGGAAAATACTTATCATCATAAATTGTTGGATTACAGGAGTCGATTTACAGACCTGTCGGTTTCTCACTCAAATGGTTCACCAAATTTGTTTAAAATGTTTCCAAGATCCTGATCTATAAAAGTTATAGCAACATTGTCAACCGTAATTTTTAGAGACTAATTTAGGTTGTTTTTTCTGTTATTTTCTCTCAAAGTATTTTATTTGGAATTTGATTTTGATTTAAAAGGTTCTACTAAATGTACATTATTTGGGTTTGATTTATCACTTTATGTATGTTTCCCATGTATCTTCACTTTGTGTTATTTTGAAAAATTAATTTAGATGCCCCATTGTACTTTGTGTTATCTTCATCAGAATGCGTGAGAAAGAGGACATCACATGTCACTGCCTTGGGTTTTCAAACCCTTTTTTTTGACTTGAAACGTATCCTAAAAAATTATTGCAACTTTTTCGTGGGTAATTAATTCATTGCGTTTGGAGTTCTCTATAGCTATGTTTGGTTTGAAATTAAATTGCTTTTCCAGTTTTGGTGAGAGTTGCGGTGGGTGCACCGGCTCCAGCCCTTTATTTTCACAGTTTAACATATAAAGAAAAGATAGTTTTTTATCAAAATGGAGAGGTGAGCATTGAAGCCATGATCCATTACGTAGATATTTGATCCAAATGTGCGTGGCTTGCACAATTATGCGAAATTTGACCAAAGTGTGCTTATTTTCTGTGGTTAAATGTGCATCTCTGAAAATTATGGTTATTTTCTGGCAAAATTATAGTCATATATGGTTATTTTGACTTTCTTGGTGGTCAAATGTGCCTCTTATTTTTTAGCAAAATTAAAAAACAAAAAAGAAAGAAAGAAGAAAACAAAAGTGAGAAGTGAGTTTGAATCTTCCCCACAAGCAGTACAGCCCTCACAAAGTCATTCCTCGCTAGAAAATCTACGTCTTCATCTATGCCTCGCAAAAAATCTACCTCTTCATTTATGTCTACCGAATTGCGAAAATCTACCTTTTCATCTATATCTCTATCGAAGAAGGAAAAAAGTGTGATTGTTTAAGTCATAATGGACACTTAAGGTTTCCATTCCTACCCATTACCATGCCCAATATCATGTCGCTTAAATCTCCTTCACCGATGAGGCAGGTGATCATTTAAGCCCGAGAATTTTTTTTTTGGAAACTGTCTATTAATGAGACTCTTAGAACTACCCATTTTTATCTCTGAGCAAAATTAAGGAGAGTAAACCTCACCCTTTACAGGAATTGCATATGTGGCCCACCATGGTCTACAATGAGCATTTTATCATGCGCCACTGACCACACGAGGGCAAGTGTTTCCATAGGACCATGAATTGGCCATTGTTTGGGAGGACCAGGATTGTTATTTTCTTGGGTTTTCGTTTTCAGAGATTCAGATTTATACCGTACCGTGGAGAATCCGATGCACTCAGTTGCAGATAGGAGCTGGAAAAACGTCATGTGCATAAAGTGAAGCACCTATTTATAGCCTACAAATACAATACAATACAATACAATACAGGAAAGTCCAGCCTGTGATATCAGATACGCTCAACTACTTCAATAAATGGCAGCCAAAGTGTCCCAGCACACACCATAAACCCTCCATGATTTCATGCCAAACAAGTGAGAGAGAGAGATAATGATTTCATGCAATGCAAAACGTGTGTGTATGTGTCTGTGAGAGAGAGATTTCACGCCAAACAATTGAGAGAGACCTCTCTGTCTGAAAGTTCATAGTTTCCATAAAATTGAGAGAGCGAGACCTGTTTGAAAGTTCATACTCAGTAAAAATTGAGAGAGAGAACGAGACTTGTTTTAAAGTTCTTTCATCAAAGAGAGAGAGAGAGAGAGAGAGACCCGTCTGAAAGTTTATACTCCAGTAAAAAAAAAGCGAAAGCATGCAGAGTAACATATCACGAGTCTGTGTGTGTATGTTAGAGAAAGAGAGAGAATTCAAATAAACAATGTCAAAGAACTCCAAGTTCCTTCCTCTCACCGAAAAATACAAGGGGATCCCCTCAAAAACATATCAGTATGCTTCAGAAGTTATTAATTTTCAGTTGACTTTCCCCCTCGCATGCCACTTGCTCAAGAATAAGATCTCCTGCTTGGTCCTTACAAACACAAAAATTAATTAATGATATTATGAGAGATTATAAAAGGCAAAAAAAAGCAATGAATAATATTGTGAAGATCATAAAAAGCCAAAAATATATTATAAACATGAGATTGGGGTGATGGAGACTAAGCCATACATGGATAAGAAAGTGGCAGAAGTGTGAACAAAGACAAGGAAGGGTATGGCCTTCATTTATTATCATCATGGGATCCATATCTTTTTCTCTCACTATAAAACGGGCCCCCCAATCAAGCCTTGAACACGTTGTTGTTGCCACTGCCCCAAGTCCAAATTCCCTAAATTTCAGTTATAGTGTAGATGCACAGGCATTACAGTTTCAGGGGAGAGAGAGAGAAAGAGAGAGCAAATTCAGATACTGCATTACAGTCAGTTGCAGATCAGAGAGAGAGCAAATTCAGAGATTGCATTACAGTAAGTTTCAGAGTAGAGAGAGAGAGAGAGCAAATTCAGAGACTGCAATACAGTCAGTTGCAGTGTATTGAGATAGAGAAAATTAGGAACTGCATTACAGACAGTTGCAGGGGAGAGAGAGAGAGAGCGAATTAGAGATTGCATTACAGATAGTTGCAGAGTAGAGAGAGAGAGAGAGATCACAGTCAATTGTAGAGTATTGAGATAGAGAGAGAGAGAGAGAGAGAGAGAGAGAGAGAGAGAGAGAGA